CACCCAACTTTCCCCCGATAAACCATAAGGTTTTTCACAAACGTCCTCCAGATCAAATTCAAGGTTCTTGTCACCACTTCTCTCAGATCAAACATCAATGTTCTTGTCACACACGTCCTCTCAGATCAACATCAAGATTCTTGTCACACACGTCCTCTCAGATCAACATCAAGGTTCTTGTCACACACGTCCTCTCAGATCAACATCAAGGTTCTTGTCACTCACGTCCTCTCAGATCAACATCAAGGTTCTTGTCAATTACGTCCTCTCGGATCAACATCAAGGTTCTTGTCACTCACGTCCTCTCAGATCAACATCAAGGTTCTTGTCACTCACGTCCTCTCAGATCAACATCAAGGTTCTTGTCACTCACGTCCTCTCAGATCAACATCAAGGTTCTTGTCACACACGTCCTCTCAGATCAACATCAAGGTTCTTGTCACTCACTTCCTCTCAGATCAACATCAAGGTTCTTGTCACTCACGTCCTATCGGATCAACATCAAGGTTCTTGTCACTCACGTCCTCTCAGATCAACATCAAGTTCCTTGTCACTCACGTCCTCTCAGATCAACATCAAGGTTCTTGTCACTCACGTCCTCTCAGATCAGCATCAAGGTTCATCTCACACACGTTCTCTCAGATCAACATCAAGATTCTTGTCACACACGTCCTCTCAGATCAACATCAAGGTTCTTGTCACTCACGTCCTCTCAGATCAGCATCAAGGTTCTTGTCACTCACGTCCTCTCAGATCAGCATCAAGGTTCATCTCACACACGTTCTCTCAGATCAACATCAAGGTTCTTGTCACACACGTCCTCTCAGATCAACATCAAGGTTCTTGTCACACACGTCCTCTCAGATCAACATCAAGGTTCTTGTCACTCACGTCCTCTCAGATCAACATCAAGGTTCTTGTCACACACATCCTCTCAGATCAACATCAAGGTTCTTGTCACACACGTCCTCTCAGATCAACATCAAGGTTCTTGTCACTCACGTCCTCTCAGATCAGCATCAAGGTTCTTGTCACACACGTCCTCTCAGATCAACATCAAGGTTCTTGTCACTCACGTCCTCTCAGATCAACATCAAGGTTCTTGTCAACCGTCCTTCGATCAACATAAAGGGTTCTTGCCCACCACGTCCTCTCAGATCAACATAAAATTTTCTTGTCACACACGCCCTCTTAGATCAACATCAAGGTTCTTGTCACACACGTCCTCTTAGATCAACATCAAGGTTCTTGTCACGCACGTCCTCTTAGATCAACATCAAGGTTCTTGTCACACACGTCCTCTTAGATCAACATCAAGGTTCTTGTTTCACACGTCGTCTTAGGTCAATATCAAGGTTCTTGTCCCTCACGTCCTCTCATATCAGCATCAGGGTTCTTGTCACACACGTCCTCTTAGATCAATATCAAGGTTCTTGTTTGACACGTCCTCTCAGATCTACATCAAGGTTCTTTTCACTCTCGTTCTTTCAGTTCAACATCAAGGTCCTTGTCACACACGTCCTCTTAGATTAATATCAAGGTTCTTGTCACACACGTCCTCTTAGATCAACATCAAGGTTCTTGTCACACACGTTCTCTCAGATCAACATCAAGTTTCTTGTCACTCTCGTTATCTCAGTTCAACATCAAGGTTCTTGTCACACACGTCCTCTCAGATCTACATCAAGGTTCTTGTCACTCTCGTTCTCTCAGTTCAACATCAAGGTTCTTGTCACACACGTCCTCTTAGCTCAACATCAAGGTCACATAACTTTTTTCCCCTCGTGTAATCAAACGTTTCTTTAGATAAAAAAACACATGAGTAACCTTGTTTTTCTTTTACTGAAAAAATGTTTCGCCAGACTGTTGCTTTATCAGTCCAATACAGAGAAGAAAGGTGAGATAAAGGGAATTGAGGTAACATTCCTTTAGCCTGAGTCGATGTAAACATCCATTTTTTTGATAGAATGGATTAGCCCACTCCAGGCTAAAGACGATTACCTAAAAACCCCTTCCATCTTCATCATATTTTATTTTTTTGGATGATGAAGTACTGTGTGGCGACACGTTTGAAAAAAAGCAATCAGGTGTTGCACATGTGTCTAATTTGATAACCTGTCTATGTTGCCATATGTTTTTATTTCCCTCTAAAAGTATTAAAGTGAAAGATTAAGGTGTTTCATACAGCAATAAATCTTTGTATTTTTAGTTTAATCAACAATTTTATGTTATAAATACGAGTTGCTCCTAAAACTTTGGTGTAGAAGAGTAATTGTTGAAATAATAGACATATGTTGATCACATGAGAAAACCATTTTAAAATTTATTATTTTTAAACATCCGAAGGCCTAATTATATTGCTCAAGCTGGCAGCAGTGATTGTGCAACTCTGGTTTAGTGTTTATGGTGTAACATGCCAGCGGGTGAGCCTGGGTCGACACACCCACGCAAGACTTGTTTCTCTGGGAGTTCACTGGGGGTCCCATCCCACTTAAAATTTAATCTTGACTTACCAGGAGCCTCATCCCACTGAAGCTTTATTCTTGGCTCAACAGAAACCCCATTCCACTGAAGTATTCTTAAATAATACTTCAGTGGAGCCTTTGCAAACTGAAATTCCTCTGAGAGAGCAGCAGACGTCGGCCCCCAGACGCTGCGCTCACCTTCGGGATCCGGAATTCCAAAGATTCCTGCATTAATATTACATTTTCTCCAATAATGGATAGCGAGAGACCGGTTGTAGTGGTGTTACAGCGTCAGGAGTATTCCTGTAATAAAAACTGTATCTTGAAGATTATTAAATTATATTACACCACATTACAATGTTTTCTTCTAGGCATAGAATGAGAGAATTACGTGTTGCAACGAGAGTGCCCATACTGAGGACTGTTGTGTGGGTTGTTGCCCCGCGTCACCACCTTCATTGTTGTTATTGACTTATAGGTCCTTGAGGGACTCTTGATGCAAAGAATTGAACCTATCCTCTCCTTCCTTAGATTGAATCTGATTACCTCTCAATCCCACAAGCTTAGCGCTTCTCACTAAATAGTTACAACAACAACTACATCAACAAACACCAAAGAAACAACAACAAACAACAAAGAAACAATAACAACAATAATGGATCAAAGATATATCATACAGACTAACAGGTGAACAAGACACGTGTAAACACCTGGGTATAGATATTTAATCATCAAGGAAATTATTTTTTTCCATTAGTGTTTTGGGTCAACGCTATTATTTTCGTGTCAAGATATTATTACGGAAAGATTTTTCTTCCTGATAATTAAACATGATGCTACAAGTCTTTTTTTTATTGAATGTGATGTAAACTCGTATGGGTCATACTGAGCAAGGAGTGGCGAAGGTTCGTTCCTCCGTGACCTGAGAGTTAGGCAAACACGCTACTTAACATATGATTCTGGAAAACAATGTTGTAAGAGTTACTTGAGGCGTAGCGCCCTGGCTCACGCCTCACCTGACCTCCTCTGCCACTGCCAGCAATAGCAAGGCTTTCATCCCAGCATCGTGTTGCAATGCTCGTGTTATGGGTATACTTATTTGCACACACACACACACACACACACACACACACACACACACACACACAACACACACACACACACACACACACACACACACATACTGCTGTCACCATGTCATAGAACTCCAGTGTGTCACAAACCTACTGGAGTTCTATGACATGGTGACAGCAGTAAGACAAGAGAGAGAGGGGTGGGTGGATTGCATTTTCTTGGACTGCAAGAAGGCGTTTGACACAGTTCCACACAAGAGATTTGTGCAAAAACTGGAGGACCAAGCAGGGATAACAGGGAAGGCACTACAATGGATCAGGGAATACTTGTCAGGAAGACAGCAGCGAGTCATGGTACGTGGCGAGGTGTCAGAGTGGGCACCTGTGACCAGCGGGGTCCCGCAGGGGTCAGTCCTAGGACCAGTGCTGTTTCTGGTATTTGTGAACGACATGACGGAAGGAATAGACTCTGAGGTGTCCCTGTTTGCAGATGACGTGAAGTTGATGAGAAGAATTCACTCGATCGAAGACCAGGCAGAACTACAAAGGGATCTGGACAGGCTGCAGACCTGGTCCAGCAATTGGCTCCTGGAGTTCAGTCCCACCAAGTGCAAAATCATGAAGATTGGGGAAGGGCAAAGAAGACCGCAGACGGAGTACAGTGTAGGGGGCCAGAGACTACAAACCTCACTCAAGGAAAAAGATCTTGGGGTGAGTATAACACCAGGCACATCTCCTGAAGCGCACATCAACCAAATAACTGCTGCAGCATATGGGCGCCTAGCAAACCTCAGAACAGCATTCCGACATCTTAATAAGGAATCGTTCAGGACCCTGTACACCGTGTACGTTAGGCCCATATTGGTGTATGCGGCACCAGTTTGGAACCCATACCTAGCCAAGCACGTAAAGAAACTAGAGAAAGTGCAAAGGTTTGCAACAAGACTAGTCCCAGAGCTAAGAGGTATGTCCTATGAGGAGAGGTTAAGGGAAATCAACCTGACGACACTGGAGGACAGGAGAGATAGGGGGGACATGATAACGACATACAAAATACTGAGAGGAATTGACAAGGTGGACAAAGACAGGATGTTCCAGAGATTGGACACAGTAACAAGGGGACACTGTTCGAAGTTGAAGACACAGATGAATCACAGGGATGTTAGGAAGTATTTCTTCAGCCACAGAGTAGTAAGTAAGTGGAATAGTTTGGGAAGCGATGTAGTGGAGGCAGGATCCATACATAGCTTTAAGCAGAGGTATGATAAAGCTCACAGCTCAGGGAGAGTGACCTAGTAGCGATCAGTGAAGAGGCGGGGCCAGGAGCTCGGACTCGACCCCCGCAACCTCAACTAGGTGAGTACAACTAGGTGAGTACACACACACACACACACACACACACACACACACACACACACACACACACACACACACACAAACACACACACCCACACACACACACACACACACACACACACACACACACACACACACACACACACACACACACACACACACACACACACACACACTGTATTAGGGAAGGATTCACGACTCTATGTTCAGTATTGTCAGACCCGTCTTGGAGTATGCAGCACCAGTGTGGAACCCACACCAATTCAAGTATATCAAGAAACTAGAGAAATTTCTGAAATGTGGAAATGTGCAGTGATTCTAATTCTAAAGCTGAGAGGTATGAGCTTTGAGGAGAAATCAAAGGAACTATAATTGATGATATTAGAGGACAGACGGACTAATGGTGACATGATACCATTGAACAAAATACTGAGAGGTATAAGAACATAAGAATGGAGGAATACTGCAGAAGGCCTACTGACCCATGCGAGGCAGGTCCTTATCAAAACGACCTCTACCTAAAGCTACCCAAGAAATAACTCCCGTACCCAATGACACCAATCAAACCCAGCCCCTCCCACTCATATATTTGCCCAATCTCTTCTTAAAGCTACCCAAGGTCCTAGCCTCTATCACCCCACTGGGAAGACTGTTCCACGCATCTACAACTCTGTTAGAAAACCAGTACTTACCTATGTCCTTTCTAAATCTAAATTTATCCAACTTAAATCCATTATTCCCGGTTCTTACCTGGTTCGACACCCTCAGTACTTAATATCTCCCTTGTTTATGCCCGTCATCCACTTATACACTTCAGTGATATCTCCCCTCATTCTACGCCTCTCCAGAGAGTGGAGATTTAAGACTTTAAGTCTATTTTCATACGGGAGGTTCCTTACACAGTAAATCATTTTAGTCATTCTTCTCTGTATGCTCTCTAATGAATCTATATCCATCCTGTAGTAAGGGGACTAAAACTGAGCAGCATAATGTAAATGAGGCCTCACTAGTGATGTATAGAGCTGTAAAATAACTTTTGGACTTCTGTTACTTATACTTCTTGAGATAAATCCAAGTAATCTGTTGGCCTTGTTGCGCACACTAAGGCACTGCTGTCTTGGCTTTAGATTTCTGCTCACCATAACTCCCAAGTCCTTTTCACATTCTGTATGATCAAGCTCTACTTCACCTAGATCAGAGGTGTGACAAGAAGCTGTACACAGTTGGTTCCTTCAGCTGAATTTCAGTATCTGGTCTCTGAGGAGTATGTGCT